AAGTAACAGTAATCTAATTACTTTTTTGCAATAGTAATCCCTTACTTTACTCGTTACTTGAAAAAAGTAACCGTGTTACTTGTAACGCGTTACTGCTCATCTCTAAACACTATGCAGATATTCTGGACATGATGTTATGTCTCCTGTTTCTTAACGTCCTTTGTTTTTTGAATTTGAAATATTTAAACGCAGCGACTTTTTTATGTTTTTATGATCATCATACTAAATGTAATGTTTCCTTGTGAATATTTTTCTTTGGCTGATTAAATGAAGGAAGCTGTTTCCTGCAGTTGAGTTTGTATCTCTGTGCTGCATTCAGGACTTTTATTCTTCCTGCAGCGTGAACGACGTCCGCCTCTCAGGGTAAACGTGGTCTTTAGAATGAATCAGTATGGCGGAGGAGGGAGAGGAGGAGGAGGAGGTGGTGTGTTTGGAAGAGATGAAGGGACTCCTCCCATGATTCCCTGATCATATCAGTGTTCTGTTTTGACTCTTATGATGGTCCTCTCTCTCGCTCTCTCTCTCTCACGCTCTCTCTCTCTCTCTTTTTCTTCCTTCCTCCTGCGGCTCTGATTAAATCGTGTCAGAGCTGCAGGACGTTGGCGCTCTCGCCGTGTTCAGCATCCTCGGACTGAGTGCTGCAGTAATGAGCTCTGAGAATGAACATAAGAACAGGACGAGGACCTTAGCGGCTCCCGTGATGCAGATGGCTCCATTTAATGGCGATGCCTCAAATCCAACGAGCTTCAGACACCTCCTCTGAGGGTTTGAAGTAACGGCGGAGTTGTTCCACATGGCGCTACGCCCTCCTTCATGTCTGCCGGCTCTCTGGGGGGCGTTGCTGCTGTTTTCTGCTCTGTTACCCGCCAAGCTGTTGCTGCAGTTGTAGATATAATAAATGCGGCTTCAGCCGGGCCCGGTGGACTGAGCCTAAGTTTGGATTACAGCTATGGCCCTATCAGGAGAGGAAGAGGAGGAGGAGAGATGGTGTCACACTGTCTGCCATTACAGCGTTACATTTTCTGTTTACACGTCAGTGTTTAAAACTTAATTCTGCTTTGTTCCAGCCTGCTGTTCCTCTCATTCGTGAGTCAGCTGAGACATGAGAACTTTGCAGTGTGTTGATGTATGCCGAGACTGTACATAAAGGTTGAATATCGTCTTAGGTTTGTGATGTCCTGGCATGAAGTTGAACATTTCCATCATCACAATTTTGCCTTTTTGGGGTCAGATGAATACGGCCTGGATCGTTTGCTTTCTCTGGCCTCCTTTCTGACTGTAACAGGTCCTTCAGTTCCAAAGCAAACACTACGTTCTATTCAATCAGAGCTGAAACCAGCAACCAAGACAAGAAACTCCTTTGCAAACTTTTTAGTGACCTCAGTGATTGAATGAGCAGGCGACCCATTTCCTGACTTCTATCCAATCAGACATCATTTTACAATCAGTCATGCTGACAGCCAGAGGATACCTGCTGCGTAAGGCATAAACACACAAATTCTGCAGGTGTGGCAGAGCTGTGATCCGAATGTATCAAATTTCAGATCCGGGGAAGAAAATGGATGAATCAATATTTAAGATTTCACCACTAGGTGGCAGTGTTTTATGAGAAAGTCCTGGCTTAGCTGTCCCTGCAGTGCAGGGGTGATGAGGTTTGAACTTACTGTTTGTGAAGCTGAAGTTTGTTCTCACGGTTTTGTGTTTTTCTATTTTTGTGTAAATCTGTGTTTCCTTTTTTCTAAATGTATTGATCAAACTAAGATCCGGGGAGGGATAAAAAAACAAAACAAAACAAAACTGGGCTCTCCCACCTGGAGGGGGAAACCAGGTGGGGATTGCCCAGAGGTGTGAGGAAACCAGGAGCTGCACAGACTACGCTGAGGAAACATGAGTGAGTCATCAGTGAGGAGTGTTCACTACAGCAGCACAAAGTGACAGATGGATGACAACGTAGAGGAAACCGTTGCTGATGCTGCAGTGTGAGACTCGAAAGAGCACACAAGGAGACGCCTTCACAGTAAAACTGAAGCATCTGTCTGTTTTTATTTCTTTTTTACTTAAAAAAGATTAAAAAGATGAGGAGGACCTCGGACTGTGGAGCTTTGTTTCCGGTTGTCCTCCTCTGTGGATTCTCCCGGGATCACAGATTTCTTTAGCCTGTTGTTGAGCCCTGACACTCAGCTATGTGAAGCATCACCGTCATGCTGCTGCAGTTTAAAGAGCTGCACTGCTCTGTCCAAGTTGTAGGTGAGCTGCAGCTACTCTGCAGCTGTTACAGCTCTGCTGCACCTCCACGACACACTCTGGAAATTCCAAACCAACAGACATTCTGAGTTTAAGCCAGAGAGACTGGTGAATCTGATGGCACAGTCACAAAGCTTTGCATAGTTCAAGAGCAGATTCAGTCTGTCCTGCTCAAGTAAATCCATCTTTGTTGCTCAATGCTGAGTCAGAGGGGAGGCACATGGATTCAGGCTGTTTCCATTATCATGTCACTATAATATCGCGTCACATGTGACACACTGCATGTTATTCCTCAGGCCAATCACAGCTCTACATCATCCTGCATGATGTAAGTAAGTAAAATGTATTTGTATAGCACTTTTTAAGACAGGAATGTGTTACAAAGTACTTTACAAGGAATACAAAAACATATCAGACAAAACAACATATTACACAAGAACGTTACCCAAATGCCTGTCTTAAAGATGTGTCTTCAGCTGTTTTTCAAAAGAAGTCACAGAGTCGGTGGTGCGTAGAGGGGGTGTAAACTGTTCCAGAGTATTGGTGTTAGGGTTTGGAAAGCGTGATCCTTTGTTTTCAAATGGGTCCGTGGAATAGTCAGAAGACCACTATCAGTGGATCTATAGATCTGTTTTGGAGAGTAAGGGTGAAGAAGCTCGATGATATAAGTGGGGGCCTCTCCTCGGAAAGACATAAAAGTTAGAGTGAGGATTTTAAACTGATATCTATACCCAACCAGAAGCCAGTGCAAGGACTTTAACAAGGGAGTGATATGAGTGAATTCATGACTGTGGGTTAACAGCCTTGTTGCGGCATTTTGCACTGCTTGAATGTGATTTAAAGATGCCTTTGTCAGACATGTTGTCTGATTTTAGGCTTGATACTCTCTGGAGCAAGAACTAAACACTCAGTTTTGTCTGCGTTCAGCTGCAGAAAATTGTTTGCCATCCAACCATTAATTTACTTAAGACAGTCCATTAGGATGGATAATTTGTCTAATTCCCAAGGTTTAAACGAGATATACAATTGGATATCATCTGCATACAGATGGTAGGAAATCATTTTGAAACTGCTAATGATAAGGCCTAAAGGCAGAATATATAATGAAAATAACAAGGGGCTTAAAACCAATCCTTGTGGAACCCCGCATGAAAATTCAGCTATATCTGACCAAAGGTTTCCTACTGAAACCAAAAGTGATCTAACTGCCAGAAATAATGTGATGCATTTTAGGACAGATCCAGATATCCCTACCATGTGATTTAAGTGGTGGATTAAGATCTGATGATCAAAGGTTGAGCTAAGGTCCAGTAGAACAAGGACTGTCTGTCTGTGGCCATCAAAAGGTCATTTGTGACTTTAAAGAGAGCTGTCTCTGTGGAGTGTAACTTTCAAAAACCTGACTGAAAGTTATCGAGACTTTTTCTAATATTTTAGAAATGAAAGGAAGTTTTGAGATGCGTCTGTAGCTTGTCTGAAGTGTTGGATCCAAGTTAGGCTTTTTCAGCAGAGGTTGAATAACCCCCTGTTTAAAACATCTGGGGACAGAGCCGGACAGCAGGGAAAAGTTTATCAATGTGACCACAGAGGGCCCAATGGTGTCAAAAACAGAGAAGTAGGTAAGACATCAGCTGGACTCGTTGAGGGTTTCATTTGACTTAGTATTTCCGATGGATCTTTTAAAGAAACTGAGTGAAAAGACTCCATAATTATGGGATGTGGGAGATCACAGTTGAAGGGGCTATCTAAGGGAGTTATATTTCCTCTTAGGCCACTAATCTTATCTTGGAAAAATCTTAAAAAGGCATTGCAATCCATATCTGAGAAGACTGGTATACATGGAGTTGGAGGAGAGATGATGCTATTGACTGTATCGAAAGAACCTTAGGATTTCTTTTTCTTACTGCAAGTAGTTTAGAGAAATAAGTGGCTCTGACATCTTTCACTATGTTGTTAAAGGTAGATAATAGCTCTTTTAAGTGGAGCTTATGAACCTCAAGTTTTGTGGCTTTCCACAGGCGCTCAGTTTAACGGCAGATTTGCCTAAAGCTGCGGATAGCTTCTGTGATCCAGGGCGGGGATTTTACAGTGCTGCCTTTCTGATTTTGAGAGGAGCCACTTTATCTAGAATTTTTAGACATTGCAAATTGAAGGATGCCACATGCATCATCAGTTTCAGGTAGATTATTATAAAACCCTCCATCCATCCATCCATCCATCCATCCATTTCTTCGGCTTATCCGGGGCCGGGGTCGTGGGGGCAGCAGCCCAAGCAGAGAAGCCCAGACCTCCCTCTCCCCAGCCACCTCCTCCAGCTTATCCGGGGGAATACCAAGGTGTTCCCAGGCCAGCTGAGAGATATCTCTCCAGCATGCCCTGGGTCTGCCCCGGGGCCTCCTCCCAGTGGGACATGGCCGGAAAACCTTGCCCAGGAGGCGTCCTCGTCAGATGCTTGAACCACCTCAACTGGGTCCTTTCGATGCGGAGGAGCAGCAGCTTTACTCTGAGCCCCTCCCGAATGGCTGAACTTCTCACCCTATCCTATCTCTAAGGGATTATATTTACACGATATTATAAAACAATTCCACAAATTCTTCTACCACAGAGTCAGTATTTAGACATGAATGCTTTACATGAACAAAGGGCAGAGTGTCACAGATAAAGGAGAGAGATCAAATACAGTACAGGTGTGGGCGTGTGTGTAGCAGTCTGTTCAAACTGAAGTGAAAAACTCGTTATCCTCTGTGTCTCTGCAGAAACGACGATGCAATAAACCAGATGGCCGTCCCTCCCTTCCCCTCTCCCCCTCCACCACCCTCTCTCAGCCCAGCCAGCCCTGAGGTAAACGAACACACACACACACACACACGGGATACAGCTTCTCTGTCCCCATACCTTTGGATATGTGCTCTCCAGTTTTGAGCAGTGACACTTGTCCTGGTATAAATATCAGGTGCTGCATTTAAAATCCTTTTGTTGAATGAAGCAGTATTTTTGTCTGTTGTAATGTCACTGTGTCAGGCTGAGTGATTACAGACTCGTTAATGTCGCCTTTTTGAGAAAAATATATATACACTGCTACCTTGTCAGTGCTTGGTCACTTTCATGACGCCTTCACGTCATCATCAAGCCGCAATACAGCTGACATTATGTGGTGTAAACCTATATGATGCCAGCCAGATAGTGTGAAAAGAATAAAAAGGTTTGTCGTCAAAGTTGAAAACAGACCAGAGGAAGCAGGTGAAGGTCACCGTGAGATCATTTAGCCAAACGTCCATGTAAGTGTGAGTAATGGCAGGATGGAGTTCTCTTTAATGACCGTGGTTTAATCCTCAAAATGTTCAGACTGCTGTGTGTAAAATGTTTTGATCTGATTTGTTTGGTCGTCTTGATGAAAAAGTTCACCTGTGAGAATTTGCAGGAGGTGTAGGTAAAAGTTTTCAGGTAATGTTTCCTGTCCTTTGTGAAGATGTTAGTGTTTCACAGACAGATGAGCCTTCAGTGTTTGCACAAAGAAGAGAAACTATTCATATTTAAAGTTTAGGGTCGCGAAACAGTCGGTTATTGATTGTTTATGTGGAAGTCCATCAGCTGTGTGACCACGCTCAGAACACAACAACGTTCAGCTTTGACCTCCACAGAGAAGAAAGTGGCGTCTGCTTGTTTGAGACGAGCACCGAAGTTCATTCTTTGTGTTTGTATGTCAGTGTATCTCGCCCACCCTGCTCAGTGGATCCACCCCCTCTGACGGGCCCTGCCCCCCCGACGGCTTGACGCTCCACCCGCTGTCGGATGCGCCGGTGAGTGTGAAGCTGAATCTGAAACGGAAACGTGGGAACGAGTTGTAAGTGTGAGCTGATCTGAGGTCTGCTTAACAGGACGAGCCAAGCGACGAAGCCGAGCAGAACAGCAGGAGCAGGAACAGCGTCCCCGAGAGTCTGAGAGAGGCCAACACTTTCAGAAAGGTACACAGCCATCAGACTCCGCCCCCAGGGCGTAATTGTTCAGATTATTATGGCAATGTTCACCCTTGGGAACCTTAATACTGACATTCTCTGATCAAACAGACCAGACTTCATGTGAACTTTTCCAATTTTGGAACTGTTGTCTTCTGTTTACTCCTGACCATCGTCAACTTTTCCTGTGTATGAATCTCATCAACAATTATGAGTGACGGATGAGATAAGGTGTAAAACATACCCTTAGATCTGCAGGTCTCCAAAATCCAAGAAAGTGAAAACAGCCAGAAGAGTGATTTTATTGGGACATATTTCATATCTCCAAAAGTTGATTCTGTTCATCTGGACGTAACGTTTTCAGTGGGAGACTTCTTCAGTCTCAGCTGACTGCAGGTTTCCCAAATCTTATAAACAGTACATTTGCATAATAACTGAAACCAGCCCACTGAAGGAACAGTAGGCTGGGAGGTCAGTTCCTTCATCATGATTATGCAAATTCTCATGACCATTGACCAACAACCATTGATCAAAGACCACTGATCAATGGCCGTGAGTACCATTCACAGAGAGTTGGGGAATGGCTGCAATCACAGCATTGTACGATGGCGAAAGATGTACCCTTAGGCCCCCTCCTCGATTCAGAGATGGTCTTTCCCTTTTCACGTAAATGGCCTCCTTGACTCCGCGCTCAAACCAGCGTTCCTCCCTGTCAAGGATGTGTACATCCTCATTGATGTGCCAAAAATTGTTCCACCCCAAGGATCCGGTCCCCTGAAACAAACAGAGTAACATAGTGTACGCAGTTAAGTGCCAGGAGGATTGCCAGGACATCAGGGAAACCAAACAAACTCTGGCAAAGCGGATGGCACAACACAGAAGAGCCACCTCTTCAGGCCAGGACTCTGCAATCTATTCACACCTACAGGCCAGTGGACACTCTTTCAATGATGAGGATGTACACATCCTGGACAGGTCACTTGGATGAGTGACGAAACGTTTCTCCCACTGAAAACGCTACGTCCAGATGAACAGAATCAACCTTTGGAGATTTACTTACCTGGATGATTGAGAATGCATCAAGACGACATATTTCATATTACAAACTTTGTCCTCAGGGTTTTGTTCCAGATGTCCCAGAAATGTGACTGAATGAGGACATGAATGTGTCTCCTTGACCCGCTGTGCTCTGTTTCCTCTGCAGAGGCTGAAAGCTACAGAGTCTCCAGAAAATGAGCTGCAGGCTACACCGGAGCAGCAGGTAACCTCACAGGAAGCGCCCATATCCTTTAAGTTAAAGATGAGATCATGTGGTTGCTGTTATTATGGACTTATTTCACTTCGCTCAGTTTGTTCTTATCAGTCACACAAAAGCCTCTATCAATACATCTGATCTGTGTGCGTGTGTGTGTGTGTCCAGTCACACAGTAAACGGATGGCAGCTTCTCCTCCTCTGATCAGCCCCGATCAGCACAGAGGTACAAACACAGACATTTAACTGTGAAAAATCAGATCGACATGCAGACTTCATGTTTCTAAGAGTAAACTGATCCTCGTCCTCCTCAGACCCAACCTGTTGTGCTGTGGTTCCTGGTCAGGAGACACTGCTCGAGATCTGCAAAGGTCGATCTGGACTGGGACTCAGTATAGTGGGAGGAAGAGACACACAGCTGGTAACACACACGCACACACACACACAGTGTGTAACTTTACAGTCCAGTGCTATACCTGCTTTTGTAACCAGCTGTGAGCATCAGTGATGATCTAACAGCTGTTACTGTCCGTCCTTTTAAAGTTATTAAGGATCACAAATGCTGGAAACTCCTTAAAAAGTGTCAGATTTTTAATTATTGTTTTTGCCTTTTTTGATAGTAACAGTGTAGAGAGACAGGAAAGCAGGGAGAGAGAGGGAGGGGAAGACAGCAAAGGTCCGCGGGTCAGACTCAAACCCGGGCCCATGGCACGTGGTTGCCAGCTCATCCCACTGAGCTAAACTGGCACCAAACACGCTAGATGTTCACGTGTGCAGCTAAATTGTTTCTCTGTTAAATAAGGTTATTACAGAAAATAACCGGCTGACTGACAGGCAATCAGGAAAGAGTGCTGGACACACCGTTCTGTGACAGAAAGCCTGACGTTCACACTTTACCTGTAGAATCTGTGTTTAGTATTTGGTGTGAGACAGACTTGAGTGAGAGTCTCACACTCTCCTCAGCATCGAGGACGGTGCTGAGAATGCTCAGCCTTTTTCGATAATCGATTTTCTGATTAAAATCGATTTCGGCTTGAATAAAGTCATATCGATTCATTAAATCCCAAATCAATTTTTAAATATAAATATATTTTGCCAGAAACGCCAGAATCTAAGGTTAAACCTCACAAAACTATTTCAACAACCACCAAACAGCTAAAGCAGTAAATGAGAGCAGGATTCCACAAAAAGACGTAAACACAAAGTGCGGACCCGACGCATCATAATCAGTGAAATGTCGTCTTTCTCACCCGATGGCACGTACCCAGACGTGTACGTACAGGTGGAGCTGAAAGCCAACAGCTCACAGATTCTGAAGCTGCAGGTTTAGTCACTCTCCAATGAAAGTTGACTGAACCAGCAGCAAAAGAAGATCCAAACTACGCTTCACATTTCGCTTCACATAAACATCGACATGAATTCCCTCTTAGTTTTGCTATTTTGCTTCCACCACGATAAAAACACACTTCCTGCACAGCTCTTTCGCTCTCTGTCAGTGTACTTCAAGAACAGTTTCCCATCTCAAATCTCTGTTTTCTGAATTATTTGCTTGGTTAACCCTAGAACACTATCGCTGGGTGATTTTCACCCGAGCAAATACATTTACATTTTGGAGCATTATTTTAGGGTCACCCCATGACACTTTTTTTCATTTTGTTAGACATGGCACAGTTGAAAGTAAAAGCAGACCACTCTGATTTGTCATGTGTTGTCATATTTTGATATATTTTGATGACAAGTACTTTTTGTTGGTCATATTATATCACGTAAAAATCACCCGGTATTAGTGATTGTGTTTATTTATAGTTTATTTATAGCAATAGTGTTCTAGGGTTAATACCCACCAGTCATAAATGATCAGAATTATAACATTTCTATAAATGACAAACTGGAGGACTATGATCAAATCTGGAGGTCACTCACTGAGTATCTGGAAACTATGGACAAACAAGAAACTACTATGTGGGCTTTACCCTAGGTTATAACAAAGTGATAGCACTCTGGGATCAGGGAAGGGTGTGGGGAGGGAGGTTTTTTTTGTTGTTGTTGTTGTTTGGCTTTTTCTACCGTCTTGGTTGTCTGTTTTGTTTTTTGTTGTTGTTGTTTTCCCCCTTTCTCGGTGATAAAAATATAAAAATTAAGCGATGAGAGCCCATGGGGCATTTTTGTAATCGTTACTTGTGCTTCACTGTAAAAATATTTGAAGAGAGGGATTATAATATTTCTAAATGTCGGAGTCAAAATTGAATCGAATCGGACCAGGACCTTGTGAATTGGAATCAAATCAATTCTAGAAATCAGTGACGATACCCATCCTTACTGTTTAACATGAAGCCAGGACAGCGTTCCACTCTGATGATGAAGATCAGTCTTCTTCATCTTCAGTTCATGAACAGACTCTAGCCAGGCCTCACCCTCTCTTCTTGTTTCTCCACTAGGATGCCATCATGATCCACGAGGTGTACGAAGAAGGAGCTGCAGCCAGAGATGGGCGTCTGTGGGCCGGAGACCAGATACTGGAGGTATTCACAGACACAGCACCACCCACGGGAGGAGGCGCCCATCTACCTGTCATTACATCATTAACAGGATGTATACGAGCCATAACGTTAGTTGGCGAATGTAGTTAGTGCTCACAGTAGGAGGTCCGACCTTCTGCAGAGAGTCGTCAAAAACTCAGTTGGATCAAAAAGATATTTAGATTTGAAAGTTGAATCTAATGTTGTCTGCTCAGAAACGAGCCTGCTTCAGCTCCCCCTGCTCAAACACAGTCATACATCCACCGTGTGTGTGTGTGTGTGTGTGTGTGTGTGTGTGTGTGTGGGATGTGTGTGTGTGTGTGGTCGTGTGTGTGTGTGGTGTGTGTGTGTGTGGTGTGTGTGTGTGTGTAGGTGAATGAAGTGGATCTCCGCGGGGCGTCCCACGAGGAGGCGATCGCCGCCCTGCGTCAGACACCGGCTAAGGTCCGCCTGACAGTCCTGAGGGACGAGGCTCAGTACAGAGATGAGGAGAACCTGGACGTCTTTAAGGTGGAGCTGCAGAAGAAGAGCGGCAGAGGGCTGGGGCTCAGCATCGTCGGGAAGAGGTCCGCATTTAAAAAAAACAAAAACCTGTCAGGAAAATTAAGGAAGTCATGAGATCTGATTTTAGGAGGATTAAGTCTCATTTTTGATTATAACGACAGGAAAACATCAGAGTTAAATCTGTTTCTGCTTAAAGTTAGTCTTGGAACGTTTTTTTGATTACAGATGAGAAAATGTCGTTTGTCTGTCTGTCTGTCCGTCCCAGGAGTGGCAGCGGTGTGTTTATCTCAGAGGTGGTCAGAGGGGGCGCTGCTGAGCTGGACGGCCGGCTGATGCAGGGAGATCAGATTCTGTCAGTGAACGGTGATGACGCGAGACATGCTTCCCAGGAAGCTGTGGCTGCCATCCTGAAGGTGCTGAACAGTACTGTGAGCGTTTACTGCAGTAACACTGATCTGTAGAAGTACTGATACTACATTTAATCAGAAGCACATGCTGAGGCGGAGCTTTTTATTTCACGCACTAACAGATCATTTTCATTGGTCGGTCACTAGAAGTGAGAGATTTCTGTGTTTCACTGACAGACCTAAAAAAAATCAGTTTACTGGATTCAGATTGCTCCACAAACACTAAAGAGGCGGTGCATGAACGTGTTTCTTCACGTAGAAAAAGTAAAATTTCGAGGACACAAAGAGTGCACGAGGAATTCAGGGAACATGTTCCAGCACTTTCTCTTCCAACACTGCTGCTCGGTCTTTACCACGCTACCTGAATCTAACTCTGAAAGCAGACGTTTTATTGTGTGCTTCTGCAGCTGAAATCATTTCAGAGTTAACACAGAGCTGCAGGAATGCGTTAGCATCCCTCACTTCCTGTTTCCCCGCATGGATGTGGATGTTTCACTTATTTGCAGCCCTGTAACACAACAGTAAATTCCTCCCACTGTTAAAGCTTTCCACGTCAGCGTCACACTTTTTTTGAGATGATCTCAAATTGATGCAAACTTCAGCGCTAGTTTACCATAAAAGTCTTTACTGCAGCTCTGAGGTGGTCTGGTTTAACGTGTGTGTGTGTTTGTGTGTGTGTGTCCGTCCTGCAGTGTGCTCGGGGTCCTGTCCTGTTGGAGCTCGGCCGACTCAAAGCTGCCTCCTGGATCACATCCAGACGTAACTCACATGGGAGCCAGGTGTGAGAGAGTTCAGATTTATGATGGTCCCTAACACTGTAAGATAAGCAATACTGCAAGCCCAAAGATACAAAATCCCAACAATCAGATCGCCATGAGCAAGATCTTGGTGGTAGTGGGAAGGAAAAATTCCCTTTTAACAGGAAGAAACCTCCAGCAGAACCAGGCTCGGGGAGGGGCGACCGTCAGTAGGGAAAGAGGAGAGAAGAAGAGCACAGAGAGACGGGTTCATTAAATCAGAGTTTAGCCCTTTCTGTTTTTTTGTTTGTGCTTATGTTAGTCAGGACACCTGAGCAGGGATTCAAACCAGCAGGCTTGGATGGCTCCAGCTGTTCCTTCTGCTCCTCTCTCCCACGATGACCCACCCCGGGTCTGAGTTCATTCTGGAACAGAGCGCCAGGATTGTCGCAAAATAAACCTGCTTCCTGTGTAAACTGTAAAGCGATGATGGACATGCCTCCTCACCTGGGAGCACCTGAACTAGATTTTCTTTCTCTGACATGGCGAGCAGCGTGAGCTGATATGACACTTCCTGTTTCAGATGAGTCACGCCAGCACAAACAGCTCAGGCGTTCCAGCTCCGTCCCTCACACAGTCACCTGAGCCATCTGACCCCCCAACTTCAAGCCTGCCCCTCAATAACAACGCCGAGCCCACTGGTGAAATCACTTCCTCCACCTCAGGTAGACACATGTGATTGGTCAGAGTGATGCAAATGTGTTGATTACAGAGAGAGCACTGATCGCGTTTTCTCTGCTGTGTGTGCAGGGCTCGACGAAGGCATCCGAACAGTGGAGATCACCAGGGTAATGACCTCACATGCACATACAAACACACTGTAGGTCACCTGACCTCTGATCCCTGGATTGCTGTAAAATAAAAACTCACATGAATAGTGCAGACCAGATGTCACTGTCACCGCACAGTGAGAAGGTCTGCGTCCACCTTTTATTTTATATTTTTATTTCCATCAAACCACAAGAAAAAACAAAAACAGTGAGTCCTGGATAAGAAAGACCCGCAGCTGTGATTTCATGGTTAAAGCTAGATGTCATTATGCTCTCCTTTTATTCTTCCACCCGTGTATCTCAGGGTCTCGGCGACTCCCTTGGGGTGAGTGTAGCAGGAGGGAAGGGCAGTCCTCTGGGTGACATCCCCATCTTCATCGCCATGATTCAGGCCAGCGGAGTCGCTGCTAAAACCCACCAGCTCAAGGTGACTGAGACCACGCCTTTTCCACCTGAAAGCTGCACCCACCAACCATGTGAAAAAAACAGGCTGAAACCAAACTTTAGTCTCACTGTAGCTGTGTGGGTGTGCAGGCGGGGAGCAGACTTCGTCACAGGGCCACGATGCCCCCCCTAAAGCAAAAGTTGGATCATTTATAAGTATAAAGGCTTGGTTTAAGGGTAGGAGGAGGCTGGAGAGATGAGGCCGTCTCCAGGAAGTGATGGAAACGTGTCTCTCTGTGTTTTCAGGTGGGAGACAGGATCGTCAGTGTTAACGGGCAGTCTGTGGACGGCCTGTCTCACAGCGAAGTCGTGGCCATGCTGAAGAACAGCTACGGAAACATCAGCCTGCAGGTAAAACATGCCTGGCACACCTGTACACGGGGAGGACTGTGAGAATGCAGGTGGTGAGCAATACTCCAGCATGTGACCCACTATTACAGCAGATTTACTGGAAAACTGAGGCGGACAACAGGGTCAGGCCAAGTAATGTCTGCAACTGTTGAGGGGGGGGGTGCACTGGAGTCTGGACTACACACACTGTGCATTCTTCCTCTGATTGGAGGAGAAAGTAAAACAATAAAAAGAAGAAGCACTGTGGAACGCCTTTTGATTCAAAAACACTTGTGAGCAGTTGTGACCCACAGTAAGGTTGTTAATGCCCCCTGAGGCCAGAGGGTGGAAGTTCATCCACTGCCTGATCTTTGCCCGACAAACCTAAGACGCAGCAATGAGCTGATAACACACAGAGAGATTTTACTCTCCGTGTGTTATCAGAAGTTTGTTTTATTTGTGAGCATCACAGGAAGAACATGGAAGCCCGGGTGAGACATTCTGGATCACTCGATGGGAAAGTCTCTACAACACCAGAGCCTCCGGAGCTCATGATTAGCTTCTAGACAGCATCATCATTAATCAGTGTGTGTGCGCCCAAATGACATGAAGTAAATACTGCCTGCGTTCCCCAGTGTTTGTGCTGCTTTGGGATTTGTTCATAAAACGCCCTTTTACTGTCACGTTCGTCATTCAGGGGATAAAAATGTTCAGTAAAGAGAGAGGTCTGTCACGTGTTTACATTCAGAGCACACATGAACTATTCTGATTTCTCTTTGGGTGTGTGTGTGTGTGTGCGCTTCTCAGGTGGTGGCGGACACCAACATCAGCGCCATCGTCTCACAGGTGGAAAGTCTGACCAGCAGCTCCATTCCCTCGGACAACACTGACACACACACAGCAGAGCCTGAGTGAGTACACACACACACACACTCAGGAGTAATGACAGGAAGTACTGATCTGACCCAGAGTCTCTCCTCCCCCTCCTCGTCAGCGGTCCACGGCCTCGCAGCATCAGCCTAGAAAAAGGTTCAGAGGGGCTCGGCTTCAGCATCGTCGGTGGCTTCGGCAGTCCGCACGGAGACCTGCCGATCTACGTGAAGACAGTCTTCAGCAAGGTCAGGACCCGTCTCTGTCTGATGATGTCACGTGCTGCGAGGCACTGGGAATGTAAACGTGCTGCGTGTCGGCTGATTTCAGGGCGCGGCAGCGGCGGACGGGCGTCTGAAACGAGGCGATCAGATCCTGGCGGTGAACGGAGAGAGTCTGCAGGGAGCGACGCACGAACAGGCTGTTGCCATCCTGAAAAAACAGAGAGGAACGGTCACGCTGGATGTCCTGTCATAACACACATCTGCTCACACACCTGCACACACACACGGAGCTCCTGCTGCGACGCACACGCTCAGACTCCTGGACAACAACTCTGATAGTCACTCTGAACCCCAACACGCAAAAAAATTGACAAAAGAAACGGTGTCAGACACACACGCGCGCGCACACTTCCTGTGCACGGGTTGGTGGGTTTTGGCCTTCTTTACATGTTAAACAGAGCTTCTCAACCTCTGGGTCAGGGCGCCACATTGGGTCTCAGCTGATGTGTTCGTGCTTGCTGTTTGGATCTAAAGTAAACTTCCCGCGCTGTAGTTTTCACGCTGTAATATTTAATCCTTAAACAGGCGTGCCCACGCTTTCTAAAATACCACAAATCAAAGAGCTCCTAAACAGATAATAAAGTGCTCTTGTTGCTTGTTGCTTGCTCTTCTCCACCCTCTTGGACTGCAGTTGGTGGTCCTTCCAGATGCGCCTTCGGGAGCAGTAACTCATCTTTGAAGCGCTGCTGGTGAGTTATTTTGCATCTGCAGAATCAGCAGTCACAAACCTGCTCACAGAATAATGGCTGCGAGCAGCGTAACAGCTCGATCCAAAATACCGCCAGATAAATGTTCTGCACCCCCCTTTCATCTTTACTACAATAACGAGCAGGTCGGTCTGACACCACCCAGCTCAAGCTGTCCTCGACTGTGCAGCAACATGAGTGGCTCATTTGTTTCTCACTGGGTGCTGATTGACTGATTTTGCAGTTAAAGCAGTTTTCCAGAACCGGGACGACCATCACCAAGGATGTGTAAGTGGAATCTGCCCAAGGATAGCTGAACCTGGTCAGCCTGCCTAGTTCGAGAGAATGAGAACGAGAAGGAATTAATTGATCGCTAATAAACTGATCTCGCACCACGTTGTTCTCAGGTAGAGATAAAAACGAGTCAGCTGATATCCTGTAGCATCAATTCTGTCCTGTAATCGTGGAACCGACCCAACCCAACTATAAAATCTGATGTCATAACCCAGAACCAGGTTGAGAAGCTCTGCTGTTATTTATCCTTTGATCGACACAACGCTCCGTACTGACGGAGGCATGGCCAAATCAGCCTGCACTAACTGATACTAACTGAGACACGGACTGATGGGAAACCTTTCACGAATGGAACCAGAGGAACAAAAAGGGAAAGATGTGGCTGATGTTAGCCTAGCATCTCTTCTGTGGTCCACTGTTAGCCGTGTAGTAGCCGTTATTGTAAAAGTGAAGACCGATGTGGAGCGTAACGCCGCTGACTGTCAGCTTCCCTTTTTTTTTTTTTTTTTTCCTGCCATCACAACCAGCCAAACATGAAAGAAACAGCTGCTAGCCTTTAGTTTCATCCTCATATTGGCTCTATACCTGTGATTTTCCACTCCAAACCTTTTTTTTCATTTTTAAGAACTTTCATTTGGGTCTAAAAGCACTTTTTCACCGCAGGAACTCAAACAATGCACAATCTGGAGCAAACATTTACAAGAGCAGGCTCCAGTGGTCCTTTCAGACTTTAACCAATCAGCATGCAAGGAAGCCGAGCCAGAAAGCACAATGTTTCCCTAAACCTAATCAAACTGTAGCTGGACATATATTTTAAAATAACTAACTGTAAACACCAAGTCTGAAAATAATTCCACTTCCTGTTTGATGGTTTCATCCACGACAACCTGCAGCTCATGTGGCTATGTTTGGACTGCAACATAAACAACACATAGTTATGTGACTGGCCAGTTCAAATATTTGAGCTTCATTAATAAGATCTTTAAAGAACTTCACTTTTAGTTTTATAGCTTAAAGGTGTGCAACAGACAGATGGGAAACTCTAAGGGGGTGGGGGTGTCTCCTGGCAGTTAGACCCTGGTTCCTGCTGTGGAAAAGGTTCATGTTTAGATCTGAAAATTACAGTCATCGTTGGGTTTTAATTACTGTTTTGTTATTTTGTCAAGTATTGAGCAAGAAAAGTGGCCAAAAACCTCCTTATGAAAAAATATAAACCTGTAAGAGCTGAAATCTGTAAACTTGTTTCCACATAAATCGTAGAAGATGGGAAGAGACTAATAACACAAAGTTTATTCTAGAAATGAGGAAACTGTTTCTTGCCAACATCGCCATCTAATAGAAAATGTTGTGTCCTAAAAACCTGCAAACTGTTCACTCAAAATCTGGAAAATGAAAACAGTGGGCGTGAAGCTCATTGAAATATCCCTTCATAACAGAGGTATATTTATTTTTGATTCCTTTTTATTTATTAGAGTGCTTCCACTGTATTTCTGTTGTTTAGCCAAACATGTTAAACGGTGCCATCATTTGATACCATCATATATCCTCTGTTTCCACGTACGCTGACTGCTGAACAGAGCACACACAAGCATACCGATGTCAAACTCCCGCTATTTTCCACTGAGTTCATGCAACACTTTATAGAACATGTAAACATGTCTGTCTCCATGGAGACTCTCAGGACTCGGTGGGTATGGAGACTCCTGTCGCCCCTGGCAACAGATACAGTGTCTTCCACATTGTAGTTGAAGGAGACGTGAATAAAAGCATCGGGCCGACATTCAGTGAAATCCTTGCGTTCTCCGTCATGTTCTTTTCTTTGCTGCGGTCAGTCATAGCCGCAATCTGCTACTGATCTCTGCAGTCATGAGGAGGTGTCAACTAGCGACCACAAGCAACCTCCTGCAACCGGTGGTTACCGTGGCGTTCCTGACCGGTCTTTAGGCCTGTGCAGCTGCATTCTGAACCCTCTCACCTCTGAGTATAAGCAAAGAATATCGGCTGTTTTCACTCAGGTGTGCATAAAAGTCCACACTGAGCAGCTTTTTTTCTGGTTTCTTCTCCATGAGGAGTCTGTGCTGTGTTACCAGCTCTGTAAAACAGCAGAAGCTAACTTGAGAAAGTGTGGAAACTGGACAAGAGCTTTCCCCAGAGCTGCCACAGGCCTTCAAATTCAGGTCTGCTGGTGGCAGATAACTGCAGCTAACTGCAAGTTGCAAATCTGCAAGTTGCAAATTGCAACCAATAAACTTCTAATATTAATTCTCATCCAGCATCCAGATCTTCTCATTCAACAAATATGAGTAGAGCTCTCAGTTTAATCCCTTTCATTAAATACCCAGTATTTATGAGCAGCTGTCCTGAAGTGCTAAGAAACTCAGTTTGTTTTAGACTGAGAAAACGACGATCCAACTGAATGTCAGCATTTTGCTTTGAATGGTTTCCTACTGTGCAGGTAGCTGTTTGTGGCTGCGCATCTTCGTCTGACTCAAGTGTTTAGCAGCAGCTGAGCACCGGCCTCAGCAGCATCCTGTACTTTATACATATCAATCAAATGCAAAATACTTTATGTTCAACTTTTACTTTGTCATAATTATTGTCTTAATTTTTTGGTACTTCATATGCAAATGCCAGAGTAGATGAAATCTAATTTATTTTTGATCTTGTTGAGAATTAACAATGTATTTTTGTTGCTGTTGTGTTGTTATGAGCACTAATATGTCCGAATATCAGAAATCAGAGTGGAAACCTGCAGCTTTGGTCTGCTAGCGCTTCCTTGTTATTCTGCATCATTTCTTAATCATGTTCTCAGAAGTTGTTGAGAAAATTTGTTTGATTTCAAATAAATAACAGATAATAGATCCAAACTGACTTTGAAGGACTGTTTTACTGTATGATTCTCAGTTCAAAATGATCTGTAGCCAATCAGAAGAAAGCGTTGTTTTTTGTTTTTTTACTGCTGGCAGGTCAGCAGTCGAGATTTATTTCATGGAGCTGAAATATTGGTAATGACTCAGAGAACAACCAGAAGTTTGAAACCGAATGAGGTTTGTACTAGTGTGTACAATGTACTAGTTTTTCATTAGCTGTTCACTAGCCATTCAAATCAAATCAAATCA